GAAGAATTCCCTATCATTCATTTTTCCCATAACATTGAATTAATTAATTATTTATTTTTATTTTTATTTTTTTTTTGAGACAGAGTTTCGCTCTTGTTGCCCAGGCTGGAGTGCAATGGCATGATCTCAGCTCACTGCAATGTCTGCCTCCTGTGTTCAAGTGATTCTCCTGCTTCAGCCTCCTGAGTAGGTGGGACTACAGGTGTGTGCCACCACGCCCGGCTAATTTTGTATTTTTAGTAGAGACAGGGTTTCTCCATGTTGGTCAGGCTGGTCTCGAACTCCCGACCTCAGGTGATCCGCCCGCCTTGGCCTCCCAAACTGCTGGTTTTCTTATTGAATGACCTCCAGTCTGGATTTCCCTGATTGTTTCTTAAACTGCATTTTTAGTATATTTGGCTTAGAGAGACAAATGTTTATTTTAGGAATAATGTTTGGAAGCTAGGCCTCCAAATTATCATTACTCTATAGACAGCTGAGATTAGATGCAAATAGCTACATATTAATTAATTTAATACAGGTACCGATTAATCTAGACTATTCTAATGATAAATTTAGTTTCTGTTCAACACATAAATGCTTTTAAAACCACATTGCTAGAATTGGTGGTACTCTCATTTCTGTGACATGATAGAGAATTAAACATAGGCATTTCCTATGCAGAAACAAAAGCTAATTCACTAGGAAGACAAATGAATTTTGCACATTTTAATGTGTTTAACCTTCTAGAGCAATAAAAAGGGACACAAAAGAAATGACTGCAGAGAACATGGAGCCATACTGGTGTAAGCAGGCAAACAAAAGAGAGCTGTTCTCAAAACAGAGATGACTGTGAAGAAGAATGAAAAACAGATGGAAAAGTGCCTGAAACTTTAGAAGAAAATACATAAAGTCATAGAAAGTTATTATTTGGGCCAGACTCGGTGGCTCACGCCTGTAATCCTAGCACTTTGGGAGGCTGACGCAGGCAGGTCACTTGAGGTCAGGAGTTGGAGAACAGCCTGGCCAACATGGTGAAACCCTGTCTCTCCAAAAATAAAAAAAATTAGCCAGGTGTGGTGGCGCACTCCTGTAACCCCAGCTACTCGGGAGGCTGAGGCACGAGAATCTCTCGAACCTGGGAGGCAGAGATTGCAGTGAGCCAAGATCGTGCCACTGCACTCCAGCCTGGGTGACAGAGTGAGACTCCATCTCAAAAAATAAAAATAAAAAAAAGTTATTATTTGTATTTTAGAAAAAGCCATTTGGCCATTCATTCTAATTTTATCCAAACCTATTAAAACTTAACTTTCTTTTTTTTTTTTTGAGACGGAGTCTCGCACTTTTGTCCAGGCTGGAGTGCAGTGGCGCGATCTCAGCTCACTGCAAGCTCCACCTCCCAGGTTCACGCCATTGTCCTGCCTCAGCCTCCTGAGTAGCTGGGACTACAGGTGCCCGCCGCCACGCCCGGCTAATCTTTTTGTATTTTTAGTAGAGACAGGGTTTCACCGTGTTAGCCAGGATGGTCTTGATCTCCTGATCTCGTGATCCACCCGCCTCGGCCTCCCAAAGTGCTGGAATTACAGGCGTGAGCCACCACGCCCAGCCCAAAACTTAACTTTCTTTAGCAGAAATAATTTAAAGCAGAAAGAATTTAAAGGCAGTGGGAGTGAAGCTGTCTTGCCCATGTTTCAGTGGTATTTCCCTACATTTCTCTTTCTGGGCTGGACATGTGAATCAGGACAGGAAGGGAGGACTGGTGATTGGTAGAACAGATGATCCAGTAACTCAGCTGCTGCCTCATATTTAAAGGGGAAGGAGAATGACTGAGAACCTGGAGAAAAGGCTGTCCCGTTAAAGCAACCACTTGATCCAGACAAAGGTTTCAGTTTCAGAGAAAGAGGCAAATCTATGAAGCAAGGGGGTCATAATAAGGTTGAGTTAGGGTTTCTGGTTAAAAATTGACCCATATGTGTCCATCCTTTTTCCTTTGTGCAACTCTTTAAAAGGACAGTTAGGAATTAACCTGCATGGATCCAGGGACGGGGACAGAAGACAGCAGCAGAGGAGACGTGTCAATGAATTTTTGGAGGACAGGCACATTGAGGCGTTCTACCCAACTCAGCAAAGCAGAGAAACCTAATCCATGTTCCAATGAGGTGGGTAACAGAAGTAAGTCAGTGCAGCCCCCAGAAGCCAGCGGAGGCTTACCCTTGAAGCAATTCGAGAGACTGAGTGAGATGGAGGGCACAAAATGGGGACAGTGGCCCGAAGTCTCCATCTGGAGTCGGAATTCCAGGTTCCCTTCCCTAGCTCCACTGCACAAGAGAGAAGAGGTCGTTCTCTGAAAAAACTGGGCTGGACAAACACTGAGTGGGTCTACTAGGCTCAGTGCAATGTAGGCAAGGTACCGAGTGGGCAAGGGCGGGTACTTCTGCATCTGGAATCCAGCAGTCAGATGTGTACTCCTCCCCTGGCGGTCCCCTCCCCAGATCCCTACCCAGCTGGGCAGGAGAACTGAGGATTCTTCTTGGGAGAAAATGATGGGTCCCAAAGAAACAGATTCCAGTACTGAGGACTCCAAAGGAGGGTTCAGGAAAGAAGTAAGACAGGAGGTCGGTAGGACTGGTTTTGCAAGGTATAGGTCACAAAGACCCCACTGATAAAATGAGATGTGGTAAAGAAGCCGGCCAAAACCCATCCAAATCAAGATGGCAATGAAAGCGACCTCTGGTTGTCCTCACTGCTCATTGTACACTAATTATAATGCATTACCATACTACAAGACACTCCCACTGGCGCCATGACAGTTTACAAACACCAAGCCAACACCTGGAAGTTCCTCTATATGCTCTGAAAGGGGGAGAACCCTCAGTTCTGGGAATTCCCTGCCTCTTTCCTAGAAAACTCATGAATAATCCACCCCATGTTTAGCATCTAATCAAGAAATAATCATAAGTTTACTCGGTCAAGCAGCCCATGCCACTGTTCTGCCTGTGGAGTAGTCATTCTTTTATTCCTTTACTTTCTTAATAAACTTCTTTTACTTTACTCTGTCAGCTTGCTCTTGAATTCCTTCTGTGCAAAGCCAAGAACCCCCAGGGCCTTCCAGGCTGAACCCCAATTTTGGAGTTCACCCTGTAACTAAAGGAACTAAGGATCTCTCTAAAATGGTGTCTTTAGGAAGAGGCAGGGCTCATCACTGGTGAGAGCGGAGGAGGAGGTGCATTTCTAACACAAAGAACGGGGGCACTATCTTTGCTTGAGGGAGACCAGACCTCCTGGAGATGTCCTGAGGAGGGTGGGACACACAAAGGTACAGGACAAAGGTGCAGGTTCCAAAAGGGTCTTCGTGAGAACAGAATGCCAAAGGACAGCCTCTCTAAGCAGAAAGTGATTACTGTTCCCACAGTCATGCTGCTGGTGAGTTCATTCCTTGGCCTGTCCATGTATCCATTTGCCCATCCACCCATCTGTTCACCTGTTCTTACATCCAGCCATCAGTGACAGAGTGGCAAGTCATGTGCTATATGCAGGGAGAGGTGCAGTGAGTAACAGAGCCGTGGGCCTCATTCTGTCAGAGTTTCTAAATAGCTGGACTAAAAATGGCGTATTCCATCAGATGTTAATTATTTTGTAAAATTAGATGTTTTAAAAATTAGGCGATAAAGATTTTTTAATGTCAAGCATGTAATGGAAAGCACTAAAGGTATTAGGAAGAAAATACACCTGCCACTCGCGGGCAACCATCCTTAATATTTTTCTTGAGTTTTTTCCTATATACATTTAAATATATATAATATGTAATCAATCACAGCATTACATTGCTATGAAACTTATCCAAACATGGTCGTACCTTGCCAGAATCCTGTATCATTTTGACATTTTCAGAACCAAATTTATCCGAGTACAGTTTAAGGAGTCTCTGAGAAATTTCCGACAGCGGTGTGAGTTTGGGTTCCTTGTAAATATACTCCTTTCCATCTTCATCTTCAAAGAATCCCTGTGACATAAAGCACAATTAGAGCTATCCCTGAATGTAAGCCCAAGGTTTACCACCTAGGAAGGGTTCTTTTGTTACAAGGGGGAAAAAAAAGGAATGAGTCTAAAGATCCTACTTAAACGGGTTTTCTGAATGAGAAAGGAAATGGTAATAACATGAAGTCTAGGTGCAAAGATAAAGGAAAAACACAAAGTTGCAAACTTATTCAAGAATGCGGTCATTAAGTGTTGAGTGAAATGAGAGATTTTGGATACAAGACTGTGCTGTTCCAGGGAAGTCTAATGGGTGTCAAGCCTGTTTCACTTTCCCAAGAAGCAGAACTCACTAGAAAATGATACGCAGCCCGCAACAGGCAGGCTCGGAAGTGGACATGCCTCCCTTCTCCTGACGGCTCCCATGCACACAGGATTTTATGGCATGACCTGAAGCGTTTCGGGCTCTGGAGTAGGTTTAGTAAAAGTTATGTAAAGCTTGTATAAATTGTATTTTGCTTTACCGATGAGAAAAAAATATTGAAGACCTGTAGCTCAATATCAGAAAATATTTTCATCTCACCAGTCATCATCTGTTTTAGCACCAATCATGTTTGACTACAAGGCTTAGAATTGCATGGGAAGTGAAAAAGGTTGAAAATTAAAAAGTCCAACTGGGGTTAATGTTTAAAAGAAAATTTTTAAAAGTTTCTCATCTAAATTAAGAGAGAGAAAATGGTGCACAAAACAGTAAAAAAAAAAAAAAAAAAAAAATGCAGGCTAGCATGAAACAAAAAACATCCACATCAAACTAGGAGTTTAGATGCAGTAATTTCGCTATATTACTTGCTTTTTAGGCATTTACTGTAATTACCTCCACATCTGTTTCACTGTCTGTAAACTGGTATTGCTATAAAGTTATAAAAGACAATAACAGAATAAATTGAAGGTTATATAATGCTCATAGAAAACCACACGCCCTAAATACATGTATTATAATTTATACCATTTAATAATGTTAGAGACTTGAAGGTTAAGATTTAAGTTAAATTTAGATAAATCCTTTTCTATAGGGTTTCTGAAATACTGTAATTGTAAATATACTTGTGGAGATATGATATTACAAAAGATAAAGATGCACAGGCACAAAGGACACCAGAAAGTCTTAATTTTGGTTTAAAACATGCAATATAGATGTATACGAAAACAGGTGATTTATTTCTGTAAATGGAATAAAATGTTAATTTTTTTGGAGTTTGTAATGACTAGACAGATATACATACAGACTTGGAAAGGAAACTTGCAAACCACACTGAAGTACCAAAGATGTTGCTAAGAATGTCTTATGGAGGAAGAACTTACCGCTGCCTTAAGAAAGTAATAAAGAAAAGACAGGAAGAAAGAAAAAAAGCAGAAAGTTTACTACTGAGGAAGGTAAGAATCATACTAAATATGACAAATTCATCAAATTAGCATTTGCAGAAAACAGAGAATTTATAAGATATAACTTTATTATAGTTTTTTTTTTTTTTTTTTTTTTTTTTTTCCTTAAAGGACTTAGGACACTGCAGAACGGACAGGAGGCTCACCTGCCCGAAGAAGGCTACCCGGAAGTAGGTCCCCAGCAGCCTGCGGCCTGAGTGCATGACCTCGGTCACTTTGCTGTAGGCCCGGTGCAGCGTGTCATACAGATGGGCCAGCCTCTGGAAAGCAGAACAAAGCCCATTTCTTCCCATGTGCAAACAGGAGAATCGATTTTAAAATAACAAATGTGATAATGGAGGTGAAAGTCCTCGAACTTGAATAAAAATACACTCACGCACATCCTGGCTGCGCTGCTTGTAGTGATCATTAATGAATGGTAACGCTTCCTACCCAAAGGCCAGCCCACATGTGAGGACCCATCACATTTCCACATTATAGTAAGCAAGCCCTGTTTTCAAGTTAAGGTGCGATGTCAGAGATGGTTCCCCAACGTGATTCTTGGCCTTTGCTTTTCCTGCTCCATTTGATATGCCTAGAGAAACTGGATGAACTCCCAAGGCCAGCATGGGCGGAAGGGACACCATCTTTCCACGCAGGTGGAGTAAGGAAGAGTTCTGAGAAAGGGGACGCCTGGTGATCACAAAACTCTGTTCATGGCAGCCTTTCAAAAGTGGAGTGCCAGGTGGTTACCCTGTACTTTGAGATGTGGGGGTCTCCACAGAGGCGGGGCCCAGGTCTGGGTGATACCCGATGACTATTTGGCGATGATGACTGGCCACCACCTTCAGCGTCACGTGGAGGGTCAGAGACTCCCCCGCTCATCACCGGCCTGTGACCTGCTTCCTCTCTTGCATATGTGCAGGTCTGGCTATATGTCACAGCGTCATGCTTTCAAATAGGAAAAAAACAAAAAGGCACTCCCATACCTCAAAATCCCTCCGCTTCTCATAAATGGGGATGATGAGTTTGTAGATGTCGGCGATGAGCTCATAGCGCTCGGCTTTCCAGAGTCCATCTGCGCACTGCTCAAGGAGCTCCATCAGCACGTCCTGATCAAAGAGGAGGGCCAGCAGCAAGAGAAGAGCGTTAGGGGGACTGCGACATGGCACCCCTTGCAGAATGCTAAATGCTAAGACTGCGAGGAGGAACTTTTCACAACAGACACTTACAACATTCTTTTTTAGGGAGGCGTTTCTTCATCACCGCAGTTTTTTTTAGGGAGGCATTTTTTCAATCATGGTCACAAGCAAAAACGAAAAAGGATCACCCTGCACAACTGCGTAATACATGGAAAAACTGACACTGATACCATCACAGGGGCTCTCAATTTTTGTTCCTAGTCTTAATAAATACCATCTAGCAATTTTCCTTTTCTGAGGAACAATGACAATGCTACGACATGGAGCGTTGCTAAGCATGACTTTAACACAAATTAGAGTGATTTAGTGATGGAGTGTGGTGGGCACCGTGCCTGCTTCACCTTGGAAATTTCTACCAATTGAAGTTTAGGTAGTTACTCTGCTTCCACTAAAGCACTTGAACTTTGGAGGAAGTTAACACTATCCATGGCTCAAGAACTGTGGCCTGATGCACACATATGTTTATTGCAGCACTATTCACAATAGCAAAGACTTGGAATAAACCCAAATGTCCATCAGTGACAGACTGGATTAAGAAAATGTGGCACATATACACCATGGAATACTACGCAGCCATAAAAAAGGATGAGTTAGTGTCCTTTGTAGGGACATGGATGCAGCTGGAAACCATCATTCTCAGCAAACTATCGCAAGAACAGAAAACCAAATACTGCATGTTCTCACTCATAGGTGGGAATTGAACAACGAGATCACTTGGACATGGGAAGGGGAACATCACACACTGGGGCCTATTGTGGGGAGAGGGGAGTGGGGAGGGATGGCATTGGGAGTTATACCTGATGTAAATGACAAGTTGATGGGTGCAGCACAACAACATGGCACATGTATACATATGTAACAAACCTGCATGTTGTGCACATGTACCCTAGAACTTAAAGCATAATTTAAAAAAAAAAAATTGTGGCCTGGACTTACACTAATCAGCACAAATCTATTTCCTGGCCACAGGCATTGCTTCATCATGGGTGGACATGTGACCTAAGCAGGCCAATCAGGGTGAATTTTAGGACCCCAGCTTGGAATTTGAAGAAATGCTCCTACCAGACTGTAGCTTGGCTAAGCTGGCATTCCTCTCATGGCCATGGAAGGGGGCCCGTCTGCCTTATTAGCAGAGTGAAGGGCCTCCCTTCTGCTGCCCAGCAAAGTGATCGTGTCATGAATAAAAAGGTTTGGACTGATTGAGGTTAATCTCTCCGTGGCATTTCCTAGTGGGATCCAATACTTGACCTCTAATGTTTAAGCCCATTTTAGAGGGGTTTCATTAATGATGCTGAATTAATTTTAATTTGTTGATTTGTTATATATAGCTTTGGTAAAGTGTCTATTCAAATCTTTTGCTCATTTTTCTACTGGATTGCTTATTTTATTATTGAATTTTGAGAGTTCTTTATATACTGTGGATAAAAGTCCTTTACCAGATATGTGATTTGTAACTATTTCTCCCAATCTGTGGTTTGTCTCTAGGTTTTCTTTTTTTTAATTTAAAATTTATTTTAGCTTTTTTTGAGACTGGGTCTTGCTCTGTTGCCTAGGCTGGGGTACAGCAGCATGATCTTGGCTCACTGTAACCTCTGCCTCCCCAGTAGCTGAGATTACAGGTGTGCACCACCACGCCCAAATAATTTTTTGTATTTTTAGTAGAGATGGGGTTTTGCCATGCTGGCAAGGCTGTTCTTGAACTCCTGCCCTCATGTGATTAGCCTCGGCCTCCGAAAGTGCTGGGATTACAGGCGTGTGCCATAGTGCCCAGCCTATGTCTAGGTCTTCTTAACAGTGTCCGTTAAAGAGCCAAGGTTTTTAATTTTACAAAGTTTGATGTATCGAGTTTTTACTTTCTGGATTGTGCTTTATATGTTATAGCTAAATATTTATCTAACCCAGGTTCACAAAGATTTTCTCTTATGTTTTCTTCCAGAAGTCTTATAGTTTTACATTTTACATTTTAGACTATGATCCATTTGGGGTTATTTTCTAATGAAGTGTCAAGGTTCTTTTGTGCATATGTATATCCAATTGTTTCAATACCATCTGATGAGAGACTATGCCTTCTCTTGGATTGCCTTTGAGCCTCTGTCAAAAATCAACTGATAACAAGTGTGTGGGTCCATTTCTGGACTGTTTTGTTCTATTGATATATGTCTCCATCCTTGTGCCAAACCACAGGATATTTTTTATGCTACTGTAAATAGCACTGTTTTAAAATTTTCTTGATCATTTTAAAGGAAAGTGCTTTTTGGAATAAGATTAAATATCATCCAGCTTATTTGTTTCTCAAAATTATATTAAATAATCATGAACTATATAGTAAAACCATAGTATAAGAACGAAGAAGGTTAATTTTTGTATATGAATCTTGTACCTGTGATCTTGCTAAATTGACTTAACAGTTTTAGTAGCTTATTTTCCAAGTTCTTTGGGATCTTCTCCTTATAACTATGTCTTATGTGAATATGAAAAGATTTATTTCTTTTTCTTGCCTTACTACACTGGCTAGAACCTCCAGCATGATATTGAATAGTCAGTAAAGCAGGTATTATGGTCTTGTTCCCAATTTTAGGGCAAAGCCGTCAGTCTTTCACAATTAAATATGATACTAGCTACAGGTTTTTTGTAGACAGTCTTTTTGTTTTCAGGCTAAGGAAGTTCCTTCTATTCCTAGTTATCTTTTTTTAATTATGAATAGATGTTGAAGGTTGTCAAATACTCTTTATGCATCTACTGACAAAATCATATGGTTTTTCCTATTTATTCTGTTGATATGATTAATTAATTTGATTGGCTTTTCAATGCAGAGCCAACTATGCACTCCCAGAATAAACCCTACGTGGTCATGATGCATTTATGTACTGCTAGATTCAATTTACATATATATATATATATATTTTTTTTTTTTTGAGACAGAGTTCCACTCTTGTTGCCTAGGCTGGAGTGCAACGGTGCAATCTCGGCTCACTGCAACCTCTGCCTCCCCGGTTCAAGCGATTCTCCTGCCTCAGCCTCCCAAGTAGCTGGGATTACAGGCATGCACCACCATGCCTGGCTACTTTTTTGTATTTTTAGTAGAGAGAGCGTTTCTCCATGTTGGTCAGGCTGGTCTTGAATTCCTGACCTCAGGTGATCCACCCACCTCAGCTTCCCAAAGTGCTGAGATTACAGGCGTGAGCCACCACGCCCAGCCTTCAATTTACTAATATTTTATTAAGGGTCTTATGGATGCTTTTGAAAATATGTATATCCTTCAGAATATTGTAAATGAAGGGCAAGGCCTGTGTTTTTCATTACCAGCCCTAATGTTTCACTACAGGACTAATGCCTACAAAGTTTACAGATTCAAGGTAAATACACATTTTTAAAGCAGTTGTGAATCAATTTACCAGGAAACGCTATCTAAGCAAGACCATTTACCTCCCATGTCATATTTATAGCACACGAGTCATAAAAGTGTCATTTGTGTGACCAAACTCTGTACCGGTGCTTATTAAAAGGTCCATCAGTTTTCTCCTGCTTTTATTGCAGGTCTCATAAATCCAGATACATGTAGTAACCACCATAGCAGCAAAAGACACGAATAAATCAGAAACGGTTTTCACACCAACTCTTTTCCTTTGTATCTGTATTATAAAGATGTACGCTTTTTTTTTTTTTGAGACAAAAGTCTCATTCTGTTGCCCAGACTGGAGTGCAGTGGTGTAATCTTGGCTCACTGCAACCTCCGCCTCCCGGATTCAAGTGATTCTCCTGCCTCAGCCTCCCAAGTAGCTGGGATTACAGGCGTGTGCCACCACACCCAGCTAATTTTTATATTTTTAGTACAGACGAGGTTTCATCATGTTGGCCAGGCTGGTCTCGAACTGCTAACCTCAAGTGATCCACCCACCTTGGCCTCCCAAAATGCTGGGACTACAGGCGTAAGCCACTACGCCTGGTCAGATGTATGCCATTCTTAGTTTTGTCTCAAATCTTTTCCAATGGAAAATCTATCCGTACTAACCATAACAAATTTTTATGATTCTTTTCATGCTTCTCTGATTATAAAAAGCTAGATAAAAGCATAAAAATTATCAATAAACATTATAAATATATGTATTTCTTCATATTTGTAAAACCAGGGAATGTATTACAGGTCTAACCTAAATTGATGTTTGTGAAGATCACATAAAACTTTACCAATCAAAATGG